CGGTAATTCCTGGAGGAAATGAAGCTGGGAAGACTTATCTTTTCCCGCTATCTTTATTGCACTCACAATCGCTTCGGTCAATTCTGACACCTCACTCGCGTGTGTTTTCTGTGCATTTCCTTGGTTGCGCTCGATCTCCGCCCCTTTGCGGCGTGATCCTTTACACGCTTCCTTATCAGTAATATCGGGTTGCGTCACACTAACCGGCACGCTCATTATGGTCTGTTGAACCCAACTCCTTACAAAAGGTTCCACCTGAGTATTCCGCTCTTCTTCATCCTCACTCGAGTCGATCTCCTCTTCTCGGTTGAGTCGTGCCAACTCCAATTGAGACTTGGCTAAGGCAGCAGCTGCCTGTGCTCGTTCGAGCTCTGAGCGTTCGAATTTAATCCGCGCCTCTAATTCGGCTTTCAGCCTCGCCGATCGCGATGACCTACTACCTCTCTGTGACCCTTTGTCACTAGTGTGCCCAATTACTGTTCTTGACGATGCCGCTTCTTCGGTCCTTTGACCTACTTTTTCGACCACCGTTTCACTCCTAGATATAACGGATTGTTGTGCGGTGCTGGCCTGCGTACCACTGGTGTCCGTCCTGTTGCTTGTCGTTGCCATGGACGTCCCTGAGTCCCATGTGCATGTGGACGTGTCGGTGGTGGCTCCACTTGAAGGAGTTGCCCCATTTGACGCAGTAGCTGTGGTCGCTCCAGATGGTTCCGCCTCTTTAGCTTTTCTTGAGAGCCCTGTTCTTGTCCTGCTCCCTTCGCTCCTCTCTGTCTGGTCTTGTGCCTTCTTCATCTTGCAGGAAGGTGATTGTTGGCCTACGGTCCCTACAACCCCTTACCTACAACCCTTCTACACCCCAACCTAACACCACTACCCCTCCCCCCCTTATCTCCCAACCCTACAACCCTACTACCACCATAACAGCCCTATCAGCCCTATCAATCCTGAACGGGGCCTACCGAGGTGAGCCGTCCAGGGATGGAGTCGTGCAGGAATGGAATGGAGGAAAGGTTTAGGAACTATTCCGCCAAGGAATATGACGAAACAGTCGAGCGGTAGTGCAAGCGCAGTCTCGCTCGAGAGAACTGCTCCACCCGAAGGTGTTGTGCCAGAGCCCGACCGTTTGGCACCGTTAGGTGGTCGGGATGTATGCTGTGCTCGCCGCCCAGTTGCCGGTGACGCCTCGTCCGAGCGCCCTCCTCCGGCCGCGATGCAGTCAGGTGCCCACGCGCACCCTCGCCTGGCAGCAGCAGCGGTGGATGCTTCTTCCTGCACCCTCCGACGACCCGATAGGAAATGCCGGACACGGTCGTCCGACAGGAAATGCCAGACACGGTCGTCCGACAGGAAAAATGCCAAGCCCTGCTTGGCCACGATGAGCGCCTTCACAAGGCACTTGCGCCTGGCTGCGATACGTGCCCCATGCGAGCACACGCCCCAAGCCGCAATCCCGATTTTCTTTCTTCCGGTAGTTCCAGGTCCAGTCCTTCTGCGCTGACGACCTGGTCTTCTGGCCTTTGGTCCTATTGCTTCAGCTCAAACCTCCGGCTTCCTTCGGTTGCTGATCTTCACTCGGCTCCGAAGGTCTTCTTTCTCCACAACCAGCAGTCCACAGCCGGCTCCTTGATCCAGCTGGCGGGGTTCGGGTGGTCCTATTAATCCGGCTCGAAGGACCAATTGAAAAGGACCAACGGGGATTAAACGTTCGATTAAGAAACAGAAGGGAGAAATCGAGGCTTCTCTCGATCCGGCCTCCTATAACGCCTACGTTGGGTTCGGGAACAACGTATGTGATCTCCGCAACGGAGTAACACACAAGGGCGATAACCTCTTCCTTTTCAGCGAGTAGGTTCAGACGGGGATTACGGGTCTTCCGAAGTCGTCCCGGTCCCAACGCCTTAATTCTTCGATGTGGACTGTATAACTTGAGGGATGAGTTTCTTGGGAATAAAACAGCAATTATCTTCAAACCATTCCGTGAGAGAGCAATCACTTTTCCCTATCACTTCCCTACACTTTTTCTTTCTTCTTCTTATTGACTGCTGGTATGATTTCCGAACTTTTTCCCCGAACTTCTTTCCCGAACTATCTCGAAGGATTCCCGAACATTTCCCGAACGAATTGCAATAAAACCCGTTCACTAAGCTACCCCAGAGCTATACGCGAAAGTGAGCCGCGCCATTCGCGCGCTTGCGCAACTCAATTACATGAATTTGTACTATTACTCTCTCACGTTTTACTTAATTACTTTATTTGCATAAGTCATACATCAACATAATTTACGTGTATAGATAGCACAAAACAATATCTACACTACGTTATACATTACATTTTCATATCACGAAAAACCTTTTATTTATTAAATGAAATATGCCTATTTTACTCACAAGTTCGAAGTCGAAATCTCTTAAATATTTAACACAGAAAGTTGAAACAATGTTTTCCACTTGAAATTATACATATGTTAACTAATACAATAGTTTAATTTACATTTTCTCTATTTATTTCACTATTTAAAACACTTTTAAATTTCTTATACAAAACTATCATTATTTCACTTATACACAGGAATTTTCACATAAAAATAACACAGAATTCACCTTTTTAGCACGTACAATCAACCTGAAATGTTTTATAAGTCATTTTTACATAAATTGCTGAAATTACAAATATTTTAAATTTTTACATATTCGGCCTCCTAAGGGTGTGGCCAGCGTGCGTCTATGAACTCACACTATTTGAACAACTAACTTTTGCACGGCTCTCGGCTATCAGAAAAAATGAAAGTCTGATATACACCAATTTTAACAATATTGGGTGAATAAATGCATCTACACAATTTTCAAACTATAGGAAACTATTTCTAATCAGATTCTTATCAGTTATCATGTTTCTTATCAGATAACAATATAAGCGAATGTTCTCATAAATCAATCATGGCAAATAGGCATTTGCTTTCGTACAAAACATATCAAACTTATATAAGACAATACTTATGCAATTAACCTCCGTTAATTCTATTTATGCACAGAGTGATCATCTCGACCGGGGAACAAATCCGATCTTTAACTTTATTTAATTATTCTTTTAAATTTACATCATTGGAAAGATGATTTCAACCGGGGAACCGATCCGGTAACATAATTTATATCTTAAAATTCCCTATATGAATTTATTGAAAGATATTACTTAGGAAAACAATAAACTAGTCCGGCCTGGGAGTCGAACCCAAGACCTTCATATCATTAATTCGACATTTCTTCAAGATTTAACTAAGCATTTTCTTATTAGAACATTGCTATTGGACAATATGCCTTTGAGACGTTATTCGTCATCGGTTGACTTAATAAACTGAAATATTCTTATAGGCGCGTCGCCAACATCTATCACGTGGAAAGCCATGGAATGTAAATGGCTGTTTAATTTTATTTTGTTTAGCTATAATTTATTTTCTTCGGCTGAGAAATTCTGAAATTTTCGGTGCCTTGTTGTTGTAATAATATATTTTACTAAATACAGGTAAACTTTGATTTTTGCGAGACAGTCACTCCGGGCCCGGCCACCGTCGTGAGTAGGTTACTGTATTGTTTGTTTACAGCACAGCGGCTCGTGATGAAAAATACAAAATATTTCAAAATCCAAATTTGATACATACTTGACCAAGGTAAGATGTTATTATTATTTATATAATCACAGATTTTCATTACAACATATTGTTTCGCTAAAAGTACGTAGGATTTATACATAAATATACTTATACGTCTTGGATTTTATGGAGTAACCTGAACTTCGGTATCTGTTACTGGAACTCCTCGAAGAGTAGAACTAGGTGTGCCGAGTTTGGCTTCGTATTGTAGTTTTGATGAGATCTTACCTCAGGACTTGATAGAGTGATCTGAAGATGTACTGTGAATCCTAAATTAAAATACTGGTTATGTCTAGATGAAAAACTTTTTGAAAACGAAATAAAGTTGATGAGAAAAAAATATTAAGTCAGGTAAAATAGACTAGTATTTACGATAATGCCTGAGTACAAATACCTAAAAATTAAGGTAATATTAAAGTTGATTTCTGATCGTTTTAAGATAATTCTGTTAAAAGTTTTTTCGATTAGCAATAATGAAAAAATTGAATCTTATTAATGATAACATGGTGAAATAAAAAAAATATTTTCTATTGTTTATTGAAATTTTTTCTACATTTTTTCATGATCATATTGAGCATTATGAGTCGTGTACTTTTGGATTTTCAAAACTTTTTTTTATTGACATTTGACATAAATTTATCGGAAAATAAGAAGTAATAGTAATAAGCTAATAAGGTTATTAGTGAAAACTTGTATTTATTTAAAATACTTAAAAAAATTGACCTATAACTTAAGCGCTTAAGGCATGCATTTACTTACACATTTGGATTTACCAAAAGTTTAATATTTTTTTATCTTGCATTTATCTTTACTTATATTTAAAAAACGTAATCCACACACCAGAATTTTCTCTTATATTGCAGAGGCAGTTTACATACATAAGTTGCACAAGAATCAATACCCGGAACAACTATTTGTGAGCCATACAGATATTTGTTCGAGGTAATTTATGTTGAGGGATTCGAACCCGCGGCCCTCAGTGCCGTAACTTATTGCTGAGCCACTTTATGGCCTACATACATTTGTCCCGGGTCTGGATCTTTATCCTTGTACAATTTATGTTGTAGAAAAAGATGTAAGAGAATATCATAGTGTCGGACTATGGCTATTTTTAAAGAAAAATGAGATAAACAAAATACATCGGATGTGTTCCTATATTGAAGAGGGGTCAGATTACAGTTAGCCGATGAGCATGTATACGCAGGTATAGGAGGAGGTTAGAGAGGTGTGTCGGGATCGTACCCAATGGAAGTCCGTAGTCTCTGCCTACCCCTCTAGTTGACAGGCGTGAGTGTTTATGTTATGTTTATGTATTCTTACTGACCCACTTCTAATTGATTTTCCTTTTCAGTACTGCTACCTGGATACTAAAGTGAGCATAGTGTGCTGCCCAAATCATCTCTATGTTACGGGAGTTCTTGGTAGAGCCTTCTTAGATTCACAAAACGGCAAAATCACGTCGAATGACATTGTAAGTGAGGCTTTTTGATGTTTTTTTAACACGTTTTTATTAGCTTCATGTGTATCTCTATCTATGTAACTAAATAAGATTATTTTTATGTAATTTTCACCAAATTGTACACGGCCGATTGGCTTGAAAATTTGCACTCGTGTCAAGGATCTATGACTATACAATAATGTAATAACTTTATTTTATCTCTTATGGTGGCCACCAGAACAGGTAAATGAAATTGTATACTTGGGGAGTGCTTTCAGCCGGGATGGAAGATGTGATTTAGATGTGGATAGGCGTGTCGCTGCCGGAAACAAAGTCAATGGTGCCCTGAATGCATTAGTCAAAAGGCAAGGCGTGGTGAAGAGTGCACGCCTTGCAATACATAACGCAGTGTTGGTACCGACTTTGTTATATGGCAGCGAAACCTGGGTATGCCAGAAGAAGCATAAAAGCAAGTTGAATGCAGTGGAGATGCGATCTCTTCGTAAAATGTGTGGCGTTACCATAGCCGACCGAAAGCGAAACGAAGAGATTCGCAATATGGCAGGATTGAAAGATGACCTTATCACAAAAATTGATAGAGGCGTACTCCAATGGTTTGGGCACGTTGAACGAATGAGTGAAGGCCGAATGGTGAAGAAAATATATAGAGCGAAAGTAAATATTAAAAGGTGTCGAGGTAGACCGAGACTAACTTTCGAAGACCATGTGAGCAAATTGCTCGAAGAGGGGAGGGTCAAGAGTACTCGGATACCTAGACGTGCATGTATGAAGAAGTTAATGAACCTGAAAGAAGCGAAAGAGGTATGTAAGGATCGTGACACTTGGCGATCTGTTCTCTCTGGCTACCCCGTTAGGGATTGTGCGTGAAGATAAGTAAAGTAAAGTAAAGTATACAATGCGTGCTTGGTTACAAAAATTTTGAGCTTCTATTTTTATCCACAACTAAGTTACAAGGGGGTCGAAAATGGCCTGAAGTGCTTCGAGAAAAGTATGGTACCGCCGTGCCGCTTTTTTGCACGACTTGGCGGGGGCACTGCCATGCCCCCAGATGATTGATTTTAAGGAACTTGATTCATACTGAACTCCTTATAATATAATTTGGTTTTTATTGTAAGGAATGGAGCATATTTTCTATGGTTTAAGCAATAATAATGTCCTCCAGACCGAATTTCGGTCACGGCGGCCAGTCTCAACGTAGACTAGCCATTAGCGCAGTACAGGATTATAGTGCATGAGTGTGTGCAAGCACAGGTGCATCATCTAGTACAGGTGCCTCACTCTCATAGTGCGATGGGACGATAAACCGACACGACCGGAGAGAGATCAGACGAAGGACCAACGACTTTGCGTGCTTTCCGAGGCACGGGAATGAAACACCGCCCAACTCTCTGATTCCGGGCTGCATTAATAATTTGACTTTGACCCGACCTGGGATTCGAACCCGAGACATTATCATCAGTAATCGCGTTTGCAACCACCAGATCAACGAGGCAGTCAATATTTACTGTAAGAAAGGCAATTTGAATTTCTATACGTGGTAGAGCCATGCTGCAGTTATATTAGTAGTATAGTTGTAGCACGAATGGGTCGGCTCGACCGGGGAAGGACCACGCTCTCACAGAATACCAGCGTCAAATATTAGTTTAATGCTGCTGTGTTTCGTATGGTGAGTGTAGAGAACCTTAACAGAGAAAATTTAGTGAATGAACTGACAGTCCACCTGATGGTAAGTGGTTGCTGCGGCCCATAGACAGCTGCGCATAACTTTAAACAAAGATTATTTTTGTTATTATTTAATAGGGTGACAAACGAGCACACAATCCACCTGATGGTAAGTAGTTGCTGCGGCCCATAGACATCTACATCTATCCTCAAATACGAATCAAAACGCGTTGTCACCCGTGAGGACTAAGATGGAATGCCTCGTTTCCAGTAAAAAGGGTCTCCGGTCTCTACACTCACCATACGAAACACAGCAGCGTTAAGCTTATATTTCACGCTGGTATTCTGTGAGAGCGTGGTCCTTCCCCGGTCGAGCCGACCCATTCGTGCTACAACTATACTACTAATATAATTGCAGCATGGCTCTACCACGTATACTGATGGTCTAAGACACAGGTACTCAACCTAGTTCAGGCAGATAGCTAATATTATTAACTAGACTTTTCAACTTTTCGTTTGTAGAGTCTACATTATTAAGCCAAGCTAACACATAGTTTAAATTTTTATTATTGCATGCTATTTTTATTAGACTTATTGTTACTTTATTTAATTTTAATCATATTTGTTCATATATGTAAACATGTGTAATTGGAAATGAAATAAAAATAGTTTATTGTTTATCATTATTTATTTATTATTTATAAAAATCTATTCGTTCGCAGGAATGCCGTTATAATGGTAACTTGCCGTTGATATGCTGCAAACGCGAGCCTATAAGTAACCGTAGCCCCATAACGGTCGTGGGGCGTTTGTCTGACACCTGTCGAGATAAGAGCACTCAGGCAGCGTGCAATGGTGAGGAAATATTACTTCTGTGTCATATCTATATGTGGTAGAGCAACGCTGCTATATTATGGTTGTAGCACGAATGAGTCGGCTCGACCTGGAAAGGAACACGCTCTCACAGAAACCAGCGTAAAATAGCAGCTTAATATTGCTGTAGAGAACTGGAGACACTTTTTACTGGAGACGAGGCATTCCATCTTAATATTCAGGGGTGACAATGCATCTTCATTCTGATTTTTAATCGAGGATAGATGTAGGTGTCTATGGGTAACAGTATTCACTTACCATCAGGTGGACTGTGAGAAAAATTTTGAAGTGAACATTTTTTTAGGCACGTTGGTCACTTTTGGGATATGGGAAAAAGCAATGATCTCACGCGACCGTCATGCCCAATTACAATTAATAAAATTTTATAAAATTAACGGGTTGGATTTAGAATCGTTTGGCAGGAATTTGGGGGAATAAGGTGTTTTATCTGGTAGAGGTTTGGTCCCCGATTACAATAATACCACTCACATTAAAAGGTAACGCACCGTTTTCGAAAAAATAAACAAAAACTATTATAATCTAAAATGCGTAAAGTATGGAAAATTATACGTTTTTTATTATTAAACTGACTTTACGGCTCTGGGTTCTAGCCCTTCTGAGAAAAATTAGACGATATTACTGTGACATCTGGATAGCACACAGAACTTTGTGTATGTGCGATAAGGACGTAGGACTAGTCTCACATTATTCTACTCATCCACATTCACACAATTAATTGAGTCTCAGTGGCGTATCGTCAAAAGATATTTCCGTAAAGACAACTATAATAATAAAGAAAAATTTACCGATTTAATATATGAATATTTATGTAGAAGAGAAATTATAAAGAATAAAAGAGATCCTTTTGAGGAATTAATAAAACTAATAAATTATGTTTACAAACAATAAAGAAATGATTATAATATAATACACAGTATTATTTCTGAATTGTTTAAAACTGTCTGGGCAGTTAATTAATTTAATACTTAAACACCCAGCAATACTTTCAGTTGTAATAGGTTAGATGGTTGTGGCGGGAGCAAAGGCAACCTGACTTTATAGATCTTATCGAATCTGTACTAAAATTAAATCAGCACGCCCCGAATCCACGTAGTCTTGTCTGCCCTATGCGTAGAGTGTTTTTGTAAAGCCGTAGGCGCGGAGGGAGAGCAGCCCCGCTCGTCATAGCAAATCACAGGCACCTGTGTGAGTCGTAGTGTGCTTTTATATATTACATTATATATATATATATATATATATATATATATATATATATATATATATATATATATATATATATATCGTACCCCCTGGCAAAAAAGCATAAGATGAAAATTGCTATTTTACAGGAGAGCAAAAAAACTCTTAAAATACCTATAACTTTTTTCTGTAGACAAAAAGTTATGTTTTATACATCCTTAAACAGATAAAAAAATATAACACAATATGAATATGTTCCTTTATTATTTATACTTATCGTTTTCTAAATATATGGAAATTAATATGTTGTGCTACTATTCGTAAATAACTCTGAATGCTCCGTTATAAATATTAGCGTTTATCTTATCCTACAATTAACTTACTGTAATGAAAGTAAATCCTTTAACAACTCTGTTGAATTTATTAGCAGTATACTTTTGGTGAGCGTAAATATTTTTACTGCATTATTTCCTTTTAACATTTGTTGTTTTTACTCAATAACCTAAACTTACCGTTTTATTTCATTTATATATTATATAGGTGAACTTTAATAAACAATAATACCACTATATTTAGTCTAGGAAATGAATTTATTTTTTGTATATCTGGAGTTGCTACAAAATCAGTTAATAATATTGGTAAAACAAAAAAGGCTCATTTATATTTTGTAGACAATTATATATTTTTGAGTAGTTATAAAAATATTTCAAAACAAATTATATTTGCATTTCACCAACCACAATCAAAGTATTTAAGGCACACTATTATTTTAGTAATAAAACCACTTTAAAAGTATTAAAATTTTAAAGTGTAAAATCAGTCTTATAACAAAATAAATAAAAAAATATCACTTATAAAAACAAAAGTTTGCGCTTCTACAAATATTATTAAATTGCTATTAAAGCTCTTATACCTATTATCTAAACAAATTATACAAAATAACTATAAAAGTAACAATGATTCGACCTTAGACAATTTGAGCACCTAACTATTATAAAAATTCTACAGTTATCACAAAATAGTTGTAAATAGGGACCTAATTTTGATTTTACATTATTGCCTATTAAATTAATTAACAGACAACTATTATTATAGAACAAATAATTTTGTTCTCCTTGAATATCAAGTCAGCCTTATGAAACCTTTTCTATTATTACAAGGATTGATATAATTAATATATCTATTATAGAGTTATTAGAACTAAAAACTAATCTAATCTTCATCCGATGTATCAAAAATTTCTAAATTAGGTGTAATCATCTTGCGTTACCAAATTTCTATAAAACCTTTGATAATGCAATGGTATAGCATTAGTATCACATAGACTTACCGTATTAAATCCTTATATAAGGATTTAATACGGTAAGTCTATGTGATACAAGATACTTCGGACATACCAAGTTCACGCGCTACGATATTCGTCGAGATATTAGGATCGTCAATAAAGCGTTGCAGTATCGCCTCCTCGTCCTCAGCTGTGTAACTCCGTGAACGACCAGTGTCATTCTGCCTTCTGTTAACGCTGCCGGTTTCAGATATCCGCCGATAAGTCGCTCCGAAGACACTGACGTGTGGTAGACGGCGGTTGGGAAAACGACGTTGGTATTCCCTTCGGGCTTCAGCTGCGTTATCATCACACAATCCGTAACAAAACATGATGTCAGCGTATTCAGGATTAGAATACGCAGCCATTGTCAGTTCCACACAAAACAGCACAACACAGGCCGAAATGCTCAGCAAAAATTAGGGAAGTAGCCAGTTAACAAAACACTTGCTTGCGCGAAGTAGAGTTGAAACGAACTAATGGTAAAAACAATTTTGCGACGCCCGGATCCCGATCATGCCCTACGTGAACAATAGCAACCAATCACAAAGCGCGCCGGTGAATTTAGAGGTCAAGCGCAGGTAAAAACGACCCTAGATAAACGAAAAGGGATTTTCTTTACTCTTTATTCACTAAGTCAAATGTGAATTGTATTATGTACTTCATAAGTTTCTACTGACATTAATACCTTTTTGGATAGCTTATTAAATGAGGAAGATAATTAAGTGATTTGTACACTTAGTGCCATAGTAAAATTTTGAGATATGAGTCAGTACTAACCTGTAACAATTTAAAAATTAAAAATTTTGAAACTGATTTTGTTCTCTTGACTTTAAAGTGTTAAGTGATTTCAGATACTAATGAGCTTTGTAGCTTTATCTATCAGCTTTGAATGAAAGTAAATAGTAATACCATTCAATAAGCAGATTTTTTTAAATTTTAGTAAATATGAAGAAATCTGGGTAATTTATTAAAAAAATCTAAAATAAAAAAAAATATTGGGAACCACTTTCATTTCGCTATACATATGTAGGTAAAATTTGTTGCATTTTGACTCCTCTGTCACGTCTAGTCAGGAATACGTCGAGTTTCCAGTATCCCTGTATATAGCGTTCGAAATTGGTAGACATTTGTCATAAGCGGGCATGAACTCATTTGAACTCTGAGGGCTAATATTTGTTTTACGTGTACGTGAGCTACGATTCGTAGTGTCTAAAACGAAGTAATCATGATTGTCAAAATCGTACTTAAAAATAACTTGTTTGGTGTCTCAGGACATGCTTTAACTTCCTTTATTTTTGAGAAAAGGACTTTATTTCCGTTTGTATCGTGAATCCAGTTTTCAACGGATGTTACTTGAGATTTCAAATTGTAAAAATTAGTCTGTGTTATTTCATTAACAATAAATTTATTTTGAATTTTCGCATTTATTATTATTTCATATAGTTGATCGGGTGTATATAGTGTTTTATTTTTCATTTTTTTTCTATGCAGGCATGCATTGAATAACCTTCATTTTGTGTGTGTTCTGTCTGTAAAAATCGGCGAATAATTTCTAAGTGTAATGTACGCGAAACAAATAGATACATCGAAAAAACATATCTATTATTGGATATGTTTTTTCGATGTACAACGGAAATACAACGAATCGGAGTACAACGAAAGAGACTTTATGCCTCTACAAGCTTCCGCTTCAAAAATTTACACAAGCAACTTGCAATTTCATTAGCACCTCTTTTTGCAATTTGTGCATGCCATAAGAAACAATAACCCTGTCGTGAATATATATATATATATATATATATATATATAGTAAAATTATATGCTGGGTATTTTCTTTTATAATGGAAAATATCCACATTTGACTGAGGCAGACTTAGTACCTTCTCCAAATCAAATACAGCTACAGTTTTTAATTTTGGGTCTGCTGAATCTTTTTCTTTATTCTTTATTTCTCTAACAATATTCTTATTTTTAATATGTCTCGTACAGCTGCTGGAGCTGGAGTTTATTTTCATATTCACTGCATATTTTACAAAAATCTTTTTTTTGGTTTGAAAAAAGAAAGGTTAAATTATTATTAAATATTTGACTATATTGGTATTCAGTTGCAACTTTTATATTTTATTTAAATTTTTGTTTTCTGAAACCCAGATTTTATATAACCGGTGCATTTTTGAAATATCCAAGTCCTGTGATAAATATTGTCGGGTTGTTTTTTTGCCGTAAATAGTGAGACTCAATACACGGGATTTTTATATGTTGTATAACACTTTGCACGGTGGCATTTGTTGTTCTATGAGGTCGGTTTGCGTGCTTACCCCTTGGTGTGTTATTTGTTTACCATTATTATACTTATCAATGATCGTGTAAACAGTTATTTCTTTAATACCAAGCGTGTTTAAGAAATTGTTTTATAAACTTTGATTTTTGTTACGTGTCCTACATTATTTTTAGTTGGCAAATAATGTATCAATGTTCAATTTCTTTCCCGTTTTCTCTGAACTTTAATAACTTTAGGTTCCTTAATTTCTGTGTTATTCAAAATAAAATGCCACTGAGTCTCATGACAGCCTGTAGCCCAAAAATATTCAAATAAGTTCAGTCTATCTTCATGTTGAATAGTTTCAAAACACTTCAGCTTACAGGCGCAAGGATCTCTCATACATTTTTGTGGCTATGCGCCTATATTTCGAAGTTCCTTTGTTTTTACTTTTGTCCACGTGTCCATGTTTCTTTGTCTTTTTCTAGGCTTGTGGTTACCCTCAGTCACTAATAATGGCTGAGACAAAGTTGCTTCTATTTCCGGAGCTACGACTATATTATTTTCTGATGTGATGGAAGGCGTTGGAAGGTTAATTACATTAGCTGAAGCGACAAATGTAGAGCTACATGGAAGAATTGGAGCAGTAATTGTTTCCTCGTGGTTGTTATTGGATGTCGACTCTAGAACAATTTCATTTCGCAAAGGTGCAATACCTTCAATGTAAGGCTCTACAAAATTATAATATTGGTTGATGTTTTCATCTTGGTTTAGCCTTTTACAGGAGGTGTTATCTATTTTTGGTCTAGTGGTTATGGTATTAGTGGTAGGTATTGACTTTTGAGTACTTGGTAAAAAAATAACTGTTGGTGAAGCTATGAAAATATTATAATCGTTCTGGTTTTTGGTTGTAAATGGGCTTGATAAAAAAGCATCTTCGTTTAAACTATTAGTTAGATCCTTCAACAACGATGACGTCATAGGATCGTTAAAATCTCAAACCGGACTGGAACTAGGGCTTGCATCTGAATGTGATAAATATTCGGAGACTGCTGGCGAAAATGGCTCTTCATTTGATGACACACTCAGTCTATAATTTAACGAGGATCGTCTGCAACTGCGACTCGTAGAAGGTTCATTGTAAAAGTTATCATGTGTCACTGAGTTGTTGGTAGTTAATTGATTTTGCTCATTACAATCTAAAAAAATGTTACGAATATCCACTCCGCCTGCACCGCTCACGTATTCACGTTTACTCGCGATATTATAGAATTGTTTAGGCGTATTATTACTTACTTGATTAACATGTGTTTTCTTTTCGAACGAAGTAACGCACTAATCGTGCTTATTTAATAAAATTTTCGCAGTTAAAAGAAGTAAGTAGACATAATGACGTTCAACTATTTATGAATTTATGGATAAACATCATAATCGCGTGTAATTAAGTAGTGAAGAAAAAGAAAAAGCCGATAAAGACCATTATCATATTTATTTTATTTGTCTATATAACTTATGGTACATATGAATATCATAAGTGTTATAACGTTTAAACAAACATAAACATTTTTACGTATAATCACTTATTCCGTTATTTATCAATTAAAAAATCTGAACTGTCAAACCATGTAAATTATGTTTTCTAGCATAAAATCGCCAGAACTAATGATAAAAATATGAAAAAAAAAAATTAGCATATGTAACTTTAGTCGCTCTTTTCAATCATATTAATAACTAAAATTCAAAGTAATACTACTTCTGCTTTTCTTCCCCTGAGGGTACGAATAAAATATATATATATATATATATATATATATAATCAGAATCTCGGAAACAGCTCCAACGATTTTCATAAAATTTAGTTTTGGGGGCAAGAAATCGATCTAGCTAGGATTAATTTTTAGAAAATGTCTTTTTGTTCGTGTTTTCAGGCAATGAAAAACTGCTACAATATAAGAAGGTAAATTTAGACACCGTGTTAATGAACGTAATAGCTCAAATGGATATCGAGCGGTCGCAAAATCGTAACGCCTTGGTTCGCGTCCTATCTTCGGTCCGATTTTTTTCCCTTTTTTTTTTCAAGCCCCCTTCTTTTGTGAAAAAATCTATTATTTCGAGCCCTTTCTTTTAGTATTTTTTTAAAAATACGAAAATTTTAATTAAATTTTTTAATTTTAATTTAATTTCATTCATGATTTTTTATTCAAATAACCAGTACAGTTCAAAAAAAATATCGAGCAAAGCCCGGTCATCCGGGTACTGTTCATAATTTAAAGTAATTATAAGAACTAATACTTTGATTTTTTGTTGAGTACAAGAGCGAGCGAAGCGAGCTCGGGACTTAGGGCACCCCCACTCGGACAGGTTAGGTTAGAAGGTTGGTTATTTTTTTGTAAACCACTTAGAAGTAGGAGCCCCGCGAAACGGGGCTCCGTCGACCGGGCTTCCCTCGACTGCGCTACGTGGTGCTTCCCTCCCCCAACTCTCTCCTCCCACAAATTAGATTTATAGTCAAAACATTACAAAAACATAACCTCAAAATGAGATTTTTAAAAATTTATAAAAAAAAACTAAGCATGTCCGGCATGAGGTGGAAGTGGGGGGCGACTCTTCAACAACTCCCTCCCTCCCCCCACCTCCAACCCCTAAATTCATTTTGAGTTCTCATTTTGAGGTTAATTCTATGGGATTTCCTTTTTGATTTTTCTCAAGAACGGTGCATTACCTTTTAGTGTGAGTGGTATTATTATAATCGGGGACCAAACCTCTACCAAATAAAACACCTTACTCCTCCAAATTTCTGCCAAACGATTCTAAATTACAACCAAATTAACATTTGTTTATCAATTTGTTTGTGTACCATGATAAAAAATAATTTCTTAACAAATCAAAAATAATGTTTACAAGTTTGTGAAGTTTAGAGATTTTTCACTTCTGACGTGCAGTCCTACGACTGACAGTTTTTTTTCTTTTACAGCTTTGGGATAACGAAACTCGCTTATTGAACCTAGTGACTTGTTTTAGGAAACATGTTTTGGTCCAAATTTTATCTCACTTGTTTAAAGTAAACGAGAAGGTTGTGAGAATATTCTAGGAAAGAGAACGAGTATTGAAATTGAATAATAATAACGTCCTCCAGTGGTCCATCCGTGGAAGCTCAGATGGTTAGCGCTCGCTGTAAATTATAAAGTACGCGAGCAAACCGGGTTCGATTCCCGCTGGTACCAATGAAATTGTTGATTGCAATTTAAGTACTGATTTATCTCGAGCTTGACGGTGAAGGAAAACATCGTGAGAAAACCTGCATGTCTGAGAAATAAGACAAAAAATATTTCGATGTCATGTGAAGTTCGCAACCACGCATTGGGGCAGCGCGGCGCACACTTCCTTGCTCTAAAACCCTCTCAGAAATGAGGGGAGGCCTGTGCCCAGCAGTGAGACGTATATAGGCTGTAACTTTAACTTTAACGTCCTCCAGATCGAATTTCAGTCACGGCAGCCGGTCTCAACGGAGACTAGCCATCGCCACAGGACAGACTTATAGTGTACGAGTGTGCCCAAGCGCAGGTGGCACCGGAAAGGCACAAGGCAAAGGCTTATTCTTATAGTTCATGGAGATGACAATTCGATACGACTGAAGCCGTACCCAGGTGCAACACCGCTAAGCTTCCAGACTTCGCACTATTACTGAGAAAATATTACAGAAACAACTAATTGACTGATAATGATATCTCTCAATGTAATTGATGCTACTTTTATTTAAATAGTGTAAGTCACGATGTAAAATTTGTGGAGTGAATAAATATTATTATTTATTTAAAAAAAAAATATATTTACGCGAACAATACACATTGAGTAAAACAGCCTTTGAAGATTTTATCGCGTTTAATTTGCTTAATTTTAATACCCTACGTTTCTGGTGCTTTCCAGCACCCATGGTCACGGGGAACTGAGGTGGTTGACGTCTCGATGTCAGGGGAAACCTGGAGTACCTTCAGCTTTTTAATTATTGCATTTGTCCCGATCTACGCAGAATGAACTTACTGTGTCTTGAAGTTCAGTTATTCAATCTCGCACTGGAGTTGACTAAATCTAGTCCAGTTTAATCCCCAGAAGATACACGTTTGCGCGTTTACCTCTAAATAAAACCCTTTCGTCGTATCTCCTCAGTTTTAAGGCACTCAGCTGCCTCAGCCGGTATTGGAATCTTCGGCGTCGACATATCGAGTGACGTACAGTTTCGTGGTTACTTGGAAGAGAAGGCCAAACCGACCTCTAAACAGCTTGGTATGCTATGCAGAGCGGGACAGTATTCCATGCTGACTCACCGCCTGCAACTTTACAAGGCGCAGGTTCGGCTTCGGCCGCACATGGAATACTGTTCCCATCTCTGGGCCGGGGCTCTCCAGTGCCAGTTCCTTCCATTTGATCGCATCCATTGCAGAGCTGTTCGAATCGTCGGCGACCGAGCTCTTTCCGATCGGCTTTACTTACTGGCACTGCGAAGAGATGTTGCATCTCTTTGCGTATTTTATTTTATCTACCACGGGGAGTGCTCTGAGGAATTGTTCGGACTAATTCCAGCCGAACAAATTTCACCATCGCACATCGCGACAAAACTCGCGACACCATCCATGCCATCTGGATGACTGCCGGTCCGCCACCGTGCGATTTAAAGGAAGTTTTCTTCCTCGCACAACTTCCTTATGGAATCGACTACCACCAGAGATTTTTCCGGACCGATACGACTTAGGGACCTTCAAGAAAAGAACCTACTCCTTTTTAAAAGGCCGGCAACGCATCTGCAATTCTGGTGTTGCAGTGTTCATGGGCGGCGGTAATCACTTACCATCAGGTGAGCCGGTATGCGCGTTTGCCTACTCTTCTATAAAAAATTACATGGGGTTGTGGATATTCTTACATCGCCACTTCACGGTATATGTATACACAAGAGATATATTTATCCTGTTATATTTCAGCATGCTACGCAAATGCTCAACCAGTCGAGGATTCAATATTTTGTCCCCAGAACAATGCCCTCAAAATAGCAGGAGGGGAGCCCGCCGAAATCGAAGAATTTCCACATATGGTATGTTGTTTATAATATTTTTTTTAAATAACAGTGTTCAAAGCTAACAGTCTGATAGTTGAGCACCTGTTGCTATAGGATAAGGGTGACAAACAACTCTACCACTCACCAAACTGCGTTAAGAGGATATAGTAAGTAAGCTCAAATTCTAATTTCGCCCCCACTTCCCCGCGCGTCGTATGCTATGTACCGACATGTTTGTAATCACTAATACTGTAAGTAGATAGGTTGTTAGATACTTATTTCATTAGGTTTATCATATTTATGCCTGTTTCTTAACGCCAACCCAGTCGCTTCTTATTTTTATTACGGTTATTTCCCATTTTAATTTTACGTCGTCCTTTTGCGTAATGTGTATTCTGATCGTAAGCGACACAACCTCCCCTTCAAAGGCCGAAGCGAAAATGACGGGGCGGCAGGAATCAAGCTTCAAGATGCCGATAGTTTAGGTAATTTCTTTTTACAGTGAAAATAGTGGTATTTTAAAAAAAGTAAATAACATAAGCACTGCTTTATAGTTAGTTCAGTTAGTATGCAAAGTTTCATGATCTTATTTAAAGTATTTTATGAATAACAGAGGTTTATTGTTTATTTTGGAGGTAACTTTGGAATTTTTTCTATCGAGAAAATTTTACGGAATCGTGTTTTCGTCTAACATAGTCCTTAACATTAATCCTCAACTTTACCATATATTTGTTTCAAAATTAATGCTGCAATATTTTCGGCATAACGGAGGATCTTGCTAAGCCACTTGAGGTTATATTTCCCCTTAAGCTGCTATTTTCAACCCCCGCCGCAAAAAGAGGGGTGTAGTAAGTTTGACCGCTATGCGTCTGTTTGTCTGTCTGTGTCACCGTATCTTTTAAACGGGTGAACCGATTCGGTTGCAGTTTTTAATTTAAAAGCAAATTTTTAGCGGTGGTTCCTCCCACTAATTTTGTAAGGTCTAGCGAACTTTTTCCTGTCCCTTTCTTGTTTCGTTTCCGATTGTGGTTCGGTTGCAGACGTGTCCTCTACTTCACGGCTCATCCTAGGTTGGGGCGTTGTGTTGAAGGGTGGAACAAAGGAGAGTTCAGTTTTCCAAAATGTCGATCTCCATCCAATTTGTTCGTACTATTAGAAAGAGAAATATTCGGTCACCCCCGGCAGGGCTCCGCATGTCGAGGGAAGGGCTAAAATACTACCCGAATCGCCCTGGTCTCGGGTAGGCACCGTTTGAGATTGGACTCCCCCCCGGCAATGCATCCATCGGCACGGTACACTTGACACCTTGGATTGGGTTAGGATAGGAAACATGGGTGGGATAAAAGGAAAAGAAAAAGAGGATTGTGTGAGTATTTCTGTTTTATCTGTTACCTATTGAACTAGACCAAATAACAGACGGCAATCACATGAAGGAAGAACTCCTCGGACTTGCCCTGGGGATCAACACAACCTGCGCTCTCCCCCAGAGTCATTCGCCAAACATTTGATGCCATTGCATTGGGTCCACAGAATATTAAAATGATTAAAAACTATTATTCCGTGATTGGTTCTGATACAAATTATACGTTTTGCTACGTTGTCTTGTTTTTTACATTCCGCGGAGGCAGTTATGGAAAAGCTAGATAGATATCACGACTTTCGATAGATAGCGGTACATAAAAATACGAGAGGAAGTGAGAATAAAATATAATATTTACCTATACTTGGTAAAGCCATGTTGCAGCTATATTATGGTTGTGGCACGAATAGGCCTGCTCAACTAGGGAAGGACCATGCTCTTACAGAATACCAGCGCGAAATAGCAGCTTAATGTTGCAGTGTTTTGTACGGTGAGTGTAGTGATCCGGATACCCTTTTAATGGTAACGAGGCATTCCATACTAAAGCATCTATCTATACACCATCAGGTGGACTGTGTGATGGTCACCATTATTCTTTGTAAGAAATTTGAGATGGTTACTTCGACTAAATTTGAGAGAAATGAAATAAAATAATATTTTTTATAAAAAGTGACAAACAATCTTGCAGTTATTTCAGTCCATGGGCATATGCAACCAATTTCAAACAAGTTCGGCCTCACATGGAATACTGTTCTTATCTCTGAGCCGGGGCACCCCAGTACAGCCCTTTTCACTTGACCGCACCCAGCACAGAGCGGTTCGAATCGTCGACGATCGAGTACTTTCTGATCAGCTCGATTCGCTGACGCTGCGTAGGGATGTTGCATCCCTTCGCTTTTTCTATCGCATCTACCACGGGGAGTGCTCTGAGAAATTGTTCGGATTAATCCCAGTCGCCATATTTCACGAACGCACATCGCGTCAAAATTCACAATAACATCCTCATCATCTGGATGCTTGGCAGTTCACCACTGTTTGTTTTACTAGGAGTTTTCTTCCTCGTACAACTTCGTCGCTGGTATCCTTTTTTATTCCCCGTGCATCTTCCGTTTGCCCGCTGATCAACAACGCAGGCAAACGCAGCTACGATGCCAAGGGCAGAGCGGATATCCTAGTCAAGCACTTCGAGGAGCAATTTATGCCGAACCCAGCAAGTGCGGAGTTCATGGAGCTTCATGCCCGGAAGGAAAGTCGCGTACAGGAGTTCCTGTCGTCGCCCGCGCCGCCTCTTGCAGGAGAGTGGTTCATCTCCCCCCGCTGAACTGCGGAGGACAGTAACCCGCCTGCAACCGAGGAAGGCGCCGGGGCACGACGGGATTACCAACGCTGCACTCCGACAGCTGCCCAATAGAGTCATAGTAGAGCTTGGTCGACTCTACAATGGGATATTGCGGACATCCCACTTCCCGGAGATATGGAAAACAGGCAAAATCATCGTCTTGCCGAAACCCGGGAAGGACAGGCGTAGAGCTGCCAGCTACAGGCCGATCACGCTATTACCACACATAGCTAAACTGTTCGAAAGATTGCTGCTAAGACGTCTCCGTCCGTGCATCCAACTTCGGGCGGAGCAGCACGGATTCAGGAGGGGACACTCTACAGTCACACAATTGACCAGAGTGCTGCACCTGCTTGCGGCAGAGTACAATCGTGGCCGCATATCGTTGGGCGTCTTTCTCGATATCGAGAAGGCGTTCGACCGGGTGTGGCACATAGGACTTCTATATAAGCTGAAAGAACAGACCAGTGTCCCTCTTGCTATGTTGCGGTTAATGGCGTCTTTCCTGGAAGACAGGAAGTTCTACGTCTGCGTAGAGGACGCCGAGTCCGCAACTAAAACCATCAGAGCCGGCGTTCCACAGGGCAGCTGTTTGTCACCAGTCCTGTACGCGGCTTATACTAACGACATACCTACACTGGCAGGTAGGCTTCAAGAGTGGGAGGACGACGTCGAGCTGGCGCTATACGCGGACGATAGCGCCTATTTCACCTCGTCCAGAAGAGCCCACATAGCCACTGCCAAGATGCAGCGTCTACTGGACCTGCTGCCACCATGGCTGGATAAGTGGAGGATGGTCGTCAACGTTGGTAAGACGACCGCTCTGCTCACTCGCCGTCTCAGGAATTTACCACCTCCGCTGACCCTCAACGGCCAGGAGATTGCGTACCAGAAGGCCGTAACTTATCTTGGGTGCAAGATCGACAGGACGCTGCGCATGACCGCGCACGTCGACTTCGTCGTCCGCCGGGCCCGATGTGCGCGGGCGACGCTCTTGCCGGTACTTGCATCCAAACTGCCTATAAACACCAAGCTCCGGATATACAAGATGTATATCCGGACCATCATCACGTATGCTGCACCGGCCTGGTACGCACTTCTGAGCGACCCTCTGAGGCGGCGACTGCAGGCCCAGCAGAATCTGACATTAAGGACGATCGTCGGAGCAGGTCGCTACGTCCGGAATGACGTCATAGCGGCCGATCTGAAAGTCGAGACCATCACCGACTTCGTGGCCCGGTTAGCGCGCGGCATGTTTGACCGTGCCGATAACGGGCCACATGAACACCTGAACGGCTTTGCGCCGTTACACACCCGGCCACCGGACGGGCGACCTCTTCCAAAAGAACTCCTCTCTATATGTGATTAGAGAGTTGAGTAACAACCCACAATGCCGCTGAAAGGCCAACTTTGTCTATATCAGATAACCACTCTTTTCCCGTAATTAACCAATTACGGAAAAACCGGACTTACCACATTATGCCTGAATAGGCAACAAGGACTGTCCCATAATGATGGGACATGAGGACACCCGGGCAATGGGGGTCACCCTGAGGCCCGATACCTGCACGTACGTCAGTACGTGAAGACGACAATCAACGGTGCATCTTCCTTAAACTTTTAATGTCCTTGATTTCAGTACTCAATAATAATAATAATAATGTAAAATTTCGGTCACGACGACCTGCCTCAACTAAGACAAGCCATCTGCGCAGGGCAAGATTATAGTACACGAGTGTGTGCACCACCACAATAACTGAATTTGGTCCCTACCCGAAATTCAAACCCGGGACCCCATGATCAGCAGCTGCCTTTTACGACCGTTAGACCATTGAGGTAGTCAGTACCTACTGCAGGATCCTTGTTCCGATGTTCGGCGGTAAAGGTACATCGTGAGAAACTTGCATATATGCGTAATTATATCTATGAATGTGTCCATCTATGAGATAAATACAAAATGTAACAAAAACCCGTGGTCCTTTAAATGCGTCATAAATCAGAAATAGTATTTAAACGTATAGAAATAACTATACTTCGGAAAAATAAACCATAGAAAAATGTTATTAAATTAAAAAAAAATTTGCTAATTGTATATCGTTTTATGTAGCGATGTTCGATATCGATTAGATTAATCGAATGATTGACTAATCGCTTCTTAAATTTTTGCGACTTGATCGATTAAACGTAAATTGAATACACCGATTATTTTATGTCAATTAATCGACATTCAACGATATTAGAAAAAAATTGATAACATTAGCAGTATGATAACATCTTTGTTATTTGCCAAATTCCTTTCAAGTATAGAAAAAAAGGTTGTCGTTTCATTCGACAATAATAATCTTTGGCTTTGTTTATTTGTGTTGTTGTTTGTGGGTGATTTTAGTTAAGAAATTTTCTTTATTGCCAAGGGAGTGTGACACTTCATTGATTATAAGGCTGCGATTAAAACGATTAAAACCTTGTCCATTATTTCAACATCGGTGCCTTCTGAAAAATTATTTTAAGACGCTGGCCAGATCGCTGCTGATATGAGAAATATACTGACTAGTTCTCATATTTCTATATTATTTTTTTGATGTAAATAGACGAAAGTCAATTTAAATAGTGTTTAAAATTAAATAAATATAATAAGTAGTAGTGTAATAATATTTTCATTTTATTTGTTGGTTAATTTTATTGTTTAAATTTACCGAGAATACTTTTCTTCGATAAATCGATTGATCGATATTATGTTGATTTCCATTGATCGATTAATTGATATCGGCACAATTATTAAATAATAGATTATTTCGCCATCGATTATAATACCTAGTTTTATTACCTCTAACGGACACGCGCATCGGTTAAGCAGGTTGTTTGACAATACTCTTACTACCGGGCCAATGCAGAGGCAATATTACCGCATACAACTTGCAAATAAAATTTTATTTATCTTTTTTATAATCGAGATTTTTTTGGCAGTTATTATTGTATTCAAACGTATAGATACTGATTTCAATAACGCACTTAAATGGAACCACGGGGTTTTTGTAACACGTTGTATAGACTCTATTTTTTGCCGCAGGTAATCCTGGGGTGCAGGAATAAAAAAAAGATAGATCCAAACGAAAAAGATATTGCTTGGGTGGGCGCCGGTTCGCTAATAAGTTCATCCTTCGTTCTGACAGCAGCCCACGTCCTCCACGAGCCCTCTTAGTGAGTATTTTTTTAGAATATTGTGACAAAAGAGCACACGGTCCAACTGATGGTAAATGGATATTGCGACTTACGGTACATCTACATCTATCCTTGATAAAAAAATATTTTATAAAATTTCCCTTATTCTAAAAAAAACACGAACGAAAGCTAGACAGAGCTTTCGTTTGTGGTTTTTCATAAGTTTGAGAGAAAACTCCTTACATCTAACACAGGCTCTGCCTAGTTTAGATGTCAGTAGTTTCATAATGTAGATGTACATGTAGTGCTACCAACTTTACTGCACAGTTGACAGAGTCGCTGATGGAGAGCGTATAGTACCGAGAGAATGGGTGACTACATATTATATATATATATGCACTTTTTACAATGAAATCAAACAAAACACACTTGTCATATTTTTTTTATTTAACTGGCTTTATGGCTCTGGGTTCTAGCACTTATAAGCCTATCATTTCTTTCGGAATCTTCGTTTTTTATATATTTTTTCTTCACGATATTATGCCGATGCGTCACATTGCGAAGTTTTTGGGAGATTTTGACAACTCAACGACAACTCAACACAGCGGACAGTCCATGACACGACCAGCCACTCAAGCTTATTAGGCGCCCAAGCGATCAAAATAACTTGAGGTTTATATCAACATAAAAGCACTTTTTTCGTCGTTTTCTCTAATAGTTCACACGCGCAGACACTTAATTCACATAATTGCATCACTTTTACGAATCAAAATCCACTTCAAACCATTCAAGCGACGAAACAAGAGCGACAATCCGTCGACGGCCAAGTTCCCGCCAAAACTCCACACCACAGAATACTTTTTATATACCGCACTGACAGCACAGACTAAATAATAGCGGACACTGACAGCGAAATGCCATTTATAAAATGGCGGCCTTAGTTCCAATTTTGTCCACCTGAACAAATAAGTTGGTGGCACTGTACTTATAATATTGTTATATGGGGCATCATTTGTACCCTGTGTCCACATTTGTGTATATATATTTATACGAAAATAGCCAGGTACTTGATTATTACAGTGTTCTGTGCTTACCTCCCACCTTAATTATTGTATAACATTGTTCATTTCAATAGGGGAATGAAAAGCGTAATTTTTAAATATTTTTTAAACTGTACCTTAATACCTTTACTCATGGATTTTAAAGTTTATTCTTAGTTACTAGTGATCCTGTATAGGATGAATATTATATTTATTTATTGGCAGTACATTAACCTTCACAGCGTACTAAAGTCCACTGCTGAACGAAGGTCTCCCACATAGATTGGTCCATCGGTGGGGGGTGGGGGGATAATTGCCATAGTTGCCACGCTTGGCAACCACAGTATTTTTATTTTTAGTCATCTCCTAATTCGTTTCCCACTATCACCTCTTACGACACCCCACGGGACGATATGGCGTAATGACAGATTAACAAAAACAAAATAAGTGTTCGGCAGACTTTATAAATGTTTCTATTTTTTTAATATCCTCCTTATTTTATTTATAGTCTATCAAATATAAACATAAACATACACACACACATATTTATATACACATACATACATACATACATAAATACATATATATACACAAACACATATACTGGATGACCTTTTTTACCATCTGGAAAAAAATAGGATGTAACAGGTAAATCGAGTTGAAGCCTATGACACTGATATTTTACAAAAAATAAAAACAAAAATTCTGAATTAAATAAATTAATCAATTAAAATCTATCGAAACTCAAATCATGCCCACCCTAGTTTTACGAGCGGAAATAAAACAATTTATTCTCTTGCAATGTCCTTTCCACCTTTCACTGAGTCGTGGTAGCTCAGATGGTTAACGCTCGCTGTAAATATAACAGAACGTGAGTAACCGGGGTTCGATCCCGAAATTGTTCATTGCAATTTTAAGTGCTGATATACCACGTGTTCTCCGGTGATGGAAAACATCGTGAGGAAACCTGCATGTCTGAGGAATAACAAAAAAAAATATTTCGAAGACATGTGAAGTTCGCCAACACGCATTGGGGTAGCGCGGTGGACACTTCCTTGTCCTAAAACCCTCTCAGAAATGAGGGGAGGCCTGTGCCCAGCAGTGGGACGTATATAGGCTGTAGCTTTACTTTAGAATGTCCTTTCGCAGGGTCACAGGGTAGAGAGCAAAGCCGCCCGAGCCCTCAAATTCTTCAAAATATTTGTTTTTATTTTTTGTAAAATATCAGTGCCAGGCTTCTACTCCATCCACCTGTTACACCCTATTTTTTCCAGACGGTAAAAAAGGTTATCCAGGACAAGTATATTGAATAAATACTATAACAATGTGGATGCCTTGTTATTTTTTTTGTTTCAGTGGTAAAATTGAATTCGCGTTGCTAGGAACCACTAATAAGTCTGACATAAGATCGGGAGTTTTGCGTTACGTCGTACGAACGCTACAACACAAGCAGTATGAGACAGGTTCGCACTACAATGACATTGCCTTGGTGGAGCTCGATTACGAGTAAGTTCGTTTTAGGCAAGTTTTTTTTGAAGTAAAACTTCTTAACGCACGCTTGACTTGGGGAGTAAGCTGGCGAACGCGTGTCGAAAGCGTTACGAAACGTGTGATCGGGAGGGGCGAATGAGAGTTGAGTGGGGGATATAAGCAAGAGAGAGCAGTGCGCGTACATTTTATTTCTCTCTTTCTCTTATAGTCAATTACGTTCCATATTTTATGAATTAATATTGGGTCCTTACATATGAAATTAGGTTTTGTCGTACTGACCACTTTGATCTGAAATATCTCCTCTTTGGTTAAGAATTCCAAATTCAAATTTATAAATTCATTCAGCTGTTATATTTGAGTTTTGAAAACAGTAATTCATTTGTTTCTTTCCTTATTATTTATTTCTTTGGCGTCGCTTATTACCGTGTGGTACCGTGCGACGCCAAAGAAATAAATAATAAAAGAAATAAATAATACACATTGGAAAACATGATATTGCATGTTTTCCAATGTGTATTGGAAAACATGAAATATCGGTATATTTACGAGTACGAGTTCTACCGTGGCACCAGTACTGCAAAAACAGCTCGAAGGATTAATGATGTATACGGCGCTGGTGTCGCTAAAGAAAGCACGGAACGGTTTTGGTTTCAACGTTTCCGTTCTGGAAATTTCGACCTTCAGAACCAACCCCGTGGACGGGCGGAGACCAAAGTAGAAAATGAAGAATTAAAGGCTATTGTGGAAGCGGATCCATCACAAAGCACTTCAGAGATAGCTGCCGGCTTCGGAGTAAGTGATAAAACTGTATTAATCCACTTGAAGCAAAGCAGGAAAGTAAAAAAACTAGAACGATTGGTACCTCATGAATTGAGTGAATCGAACTTGCAAACACGCGTCGACTGCTGTGTTACTTTGCTCAACCGACACAAAAATGAAGGGATTTTAAATCGAATCATTACTTGTGATAAAAAGTGGATACTGTACGATAATCGGAAGTGCTCGTCGCAATGGCTGAACCCTGGAGACCCAGCCAAATCCTACTAAACGAAAATTGACTCAGAAAAAGTTACTAGTGAGTGTTTGGTGGACTAGCGCCGGTGTTGTTCACTACAGCTTTCAAAAATCTGACCAAACGATTACGGCAGATATCTATTGTCAGCAACTGCAAACCATGAAGGAAGAACTAGCTGCTAAACAACCGAGATTGGTCAATCGCTCTAGGCCACTACTGCTTCACGACAACACAAGACTACACACTGTACAACAAACAACCACTAAGTTATATAAGCTACAATTGGAATGCCTGCATCATCCACCGTTCCCCCCCCCCGGACCTTGCTCCACTATATTACTATTTTTTCCGAAATTTGGACAACTTCTTACAAGAAAAAAAATTCAACTCAGATGCGGCAGTCCAAACTGCCTTCAAATAGTTTATTGATTCTCGCTCCATGGGTTTTTTTTTAGTAAAGGGTTCAATGAACTACCTATGAGATGGCAAAATGCATAAATAACAACGTTGCATACTTTGATTAATTAAATTAATATATTTTACAAAAAAAATTGACTTTATATTCCTCCCTTACAAAACGCCAATTTCATATGTAAGGATTTATTATTTTGTTAAATACATTAAATATTCTACGTTTAAAGTGAATAAAATTGTAAATTCATTTTAAAGTTCATGTTTTGTTCATCTTCGGGTGAATAATAACAACTTATGGAAAGAAGCCGATAATAAATTTAAATTTTGTAGAAAATTAATATATGTATATGTAAGTACATTTACATATTATACATATTATATGCATATATAAACAGACATGTGTCAATCGTTCATTTCTTCTATATACATTCTAGTAAATTTCGTCACACGTACCGGAACATTCGGATCGATCATTCAAATGGGTCATTTCGGGCTCCAGTACCCTACACTAAAAACAACGGTCGGTTTTCGACTCATTCACAATTCACATCAATCACGAGATAAAAAGGTTCCGTTAATTGTTTGTGATTAATTGTACCGGAACATTCAAAAACGGATGAATGAACCATCAGTACTTTTAAGCGTACCACCTCAAACGAACGAATCATTCATGAGTAACACATGTCTTATAAATATGTATATATATATATATATATATATATATATATATATATATATATATATATATATATATATAATAGAGCTAAAGAAGTTTTAGTTCAGTCGTGTGGTCATAAGCACACTCGTTTTTTGAACTGAAAACTGAAAACCTCTTTAGAATCGTTCTGATTTGAAACTATGAAACGAAAAAGCGACACTAAAAAGAGACAAACATATACATCTATAGGATTCAGCCTGCGAGAGAATGAGATAGAATAATGTATATGGTGTTTGTTATAAAATTTATATGTAAGGTATAGTAAGGTAAGGTATTCTGTAAGGTCGTGGTACCTGCCCGGTTCGAGTCGGCTCATCCGTGCGACACCAAAAGCTGCCGCGTGGCTCTACCGTTGTTAGTGTTTGTTAGTTTAGCTTAGACCAAAGACAAGTGATAAGTTGTTTATTACTAAATTTAATTATTCACCCTGTTTGTTACTATATTACGTAAAATGCGACTGTGGGGAATTCCAGAACGCTTACGACCGATGACCATTTTTTATAGGATAGGGTGACAAACGAGCACACAGTCCACCTGACGGTAAGTGGACACTGTGGCCCATAGACATCTACATATATCCTCGATTAAGAATCAAAACGCAGATGCGTTGTCACACCTGAGTGTTGCAATGCTTCGTTTCCAGTAAAAAAGGGTCTCCGGATCTCTACACACATCATACGACATACAGCAGTATTAAGTTGCTATTTTACGCTGGTATTGGAGAGCGTGGTCCTTCCCCGGTCGAGGCGGCCCAATCGTGCTATAACAATAAAATAGCTGCAGCCTGGTTCTATCTCTAAAAATCATTTTTATCGAGGTCTATCTCTAAAGGTCATTTTGGAGTAGTTCTTTCTGAAAATTTCTGAGTCTGAGTTTGTGTAATTATTTCCCAGAGTCGGTTACTCGAAGTTCATACGGCCTGCTTGCCTTCCGGTACCGGGAGTCGCGCCTGATGATTTACCGAAGTCGATGATTGTAGCCGGGTGGGGAAGAACTGGCCAGAATTTGAATACTTCGATTTTACTTAAGAAGGTAGTTTATAGCTATTTTATATAAACCAGCGATCCGCACTGACTTCGCACGGGTGATTTTGTATCCATTTGGCATGATCTTTACAATGCTCTCTCGCCTTAGAATACTCATTAGGTCCATCTTCAATTTATCGTCAATTTGGTCGATATACGTCCAGACCGTCGCTTTGCTACCTCTGCCATTCACTTCTGCTTAAGGGACAATGGCCATTTTAAACTCGAAAAAATCATTAATTGTTACTGAGGTGAAACTGTTACCAATGTGTACAAAATTGTCAATTTATTGGATATCATCAGTTTGTTTTTAAAAGCTGAGGAAGTATAAATTGTCGTTAAAAACACCCAGTCTTATGCATATACGCATCTGCAGTTATTCACATTTCTAAACAAAGAGTATATAACTAGTTTTACTAGAGAAGTCCATAGTGTACCAAAGAGTATATAATCTAAAAAAAGTACTCAGTGATAACACTTTTTCTAAAATCTAAATAGATTTGGTTTTTGAAACGAAATTAATTTCTAGACAATGTATCCGTATAAATTTATATTAATTATCTAAGAAAAACCTCCTATTTTAAAATTCTTCAGAATAATAATATATTATGTAACTTCGAAAACCATATTCCATGTTTACTAAACTCTGCATATTTTTAACAATTGGTAAAATTAGAAATTTTGTACAGCCGTCTTCAATATAAATAAAATGAGAACATCATCAATGTCAAAGTCAATTAAAGACCCATTATTAAAGACACATAAAAAACTACTGGTCAGATCTTGATAAACTTTATTGGGACCACATGAGAAGCACCAATTTTCAAATAAAAAGAGCATAATGAAAATCGGTTTACCTAAAAAAAGTTAACACATAAAAAATAGTCAAATTGAGTATCTCCTCCTTTTTGAAGTCGGTTAAAAATATACCAAATGCCGTAGTTTGTTATATTTAAATACACAAACAAAACGACAAACGTTTCATCAAGTTACGTTATATTAGATTTTACTAATCCAAGCACGTTAAGTGTTGAGAATGTTAGTAATGGAGCGGGTTATGCTGGCGGGATGTTAACTGGAGAGCATGCAGTAGCAGTTAGATGAGCAATGAATAACACTTCTTCAGAGTTTCTTCTTATTTATTTTCTTGATGCTTTATTCTTACATTGCCGGATTTGGAATGTTTTACCACAAATAACGCCTCTTTTTTATAGGCAGCTGTGACCAATCAGAATTAATAAAATTTGCACACGGCACTAATGAATTTGCACACGGCACTAATGATTCCCGTCGACCAATCAGAGCGCAGAACGACCTTTTCTAAAGGATATTTACAAATTTCTTTAATATGTGTGGTAAAACATACCTTACAATGTTTTTATACATTCCTGACAGTAGAGATAACTTTATTATTTCGTACATTAAACATTCATAAAACTCTTAATTTACGTTTGTAAAAAATAAAAATAGTGGCGCGGTCTTCCTACGGTTTAGCTCCGTAGTAGCTAAGCTTTTTCCGCTTAACATACAAGTAGCGCCACCAGGCGGCAGGAATGCACAATGCTTATCATGATAATATTATGTTTAAGAATCTATACAGAATACATTTTAACTTCTTATTAAATTAAAATCTATTCTATAATAAGAAATTAGATTACAAAAGTGAAATATTGACATATTGTCGTTTTAAATTACTTTAAAAGAAAAAGAATTAAACAAGTCATTAAATTTACACTTAAATGTTAATATTTCCAATGCAGCTCTTTAAATTATGATAAGAGAAAGTTCTAATAGGTAACTAGACTTATATCTCGTTTCTAACATTCTAATTAAACCTAAATAAGACCAATTAGATTCACATTTTCGTTACAGACTTTTCTTACTGACTTTCGTTACTAACTTTCGTTGCGTAATTTTAGATTGCAAATAAGAGTTGAAGCTAGTATAAGTAATTAATTCACTTAATGTTATTAACACTATCAGTCCTTACACTTAGTTTTATATCACAAATAAGAATAAATTAAAATTAAAAAATTAAATTCACTTGTCGTCGCTAACATTCTCCCCCACGGTACGTAGCACTTTATCTTCCGGAGGCGACGATTCTGCTGGTACCAGCACGATGACACGTCGAGTTGGGCGGCGAAGTATTCCTCCTGTTGGCGACGCGCCTATAAGAATATTTCAATTTATTAGTTAACCGATTACGAATAGCTTCTAAAAAGCAAATTATCAAGCAACAATATTCCGATAAGAAAATGCTTAGTTGAATCTTAAAGAAATATCGAATTAATGATATGAAGGTCTTGGGTTCGACTCCCAGGCCGGAATAGTTTATCGTTTTCTTAGTAATATCTCTTAATAAATTCATAAAGGGAATTTTTAAGATATAAATTATGTTACCGGATTTGTTCCCCGGTTGAAATCATCTTTCCAATAAGGTTAATTTAAAGAAATATTAAAATAAAGTAGAGACCAGGATTTGTTCCCCGGTAGAGATGATCGCTGTGCATAAGTAAAATTAATGGAAATTAATTGCATAAGTATTGTCTTATATGAGTTTGATATGTTTTGTATGAAAACAAATACCCATTTTCTATGATTGATTTATGAAAACATTCACTTATATTGTTTGATAAGAAACATGATAACTGATAAGAATCTGATTAGAAATAGTTTTCGGCGTTTGAGAATTGTGTAGAATCATTTATTCACTTAGTATTGTTGATATTAGTGTATACTAAACTTTCCATTTTTACTGATAGTCGATAGCCGTGCAAAAGTTAGTTGTTCAAATAGTGTGAGTTCATAGACGCACGCTAGCCACGTACTTAGGAGGCCAAATATATAGAAATTTAAATATTTGCAAATTTCAGCAATTTATGTAAAATGACTTGTAAAACATTTCAGATTGATTGTACGTGTAAAAAAGGTGAATTATGTGTTATTTTATGGGAAAATTCCTGTGAATAAGTGAAATAATGATAGTTTTGTATAAGAAATTTAAAAGTGTTTTAATAGTGAAATGTATAGAGAAAATGTAAGTTAAACTATTGTATTAGTTAAGATATGTATAATTTCAAGTGGAAAACATTGTTTTAACTTTCTATGTTAAATATATTAAGAAATTCCAACTTCGAACATGTGAGTAAAATAAGCATGTTTTGTTAAATAAAAAAAAGGTTTTTTTGTGATATGAAAATGTAATGTATATCGTAGTATAGATATTTTTTGTGCTATCTTTATAAGTAAATTGTATAAATGTATGTCTTATACAAATAAAGTTATTGAGCAAACCGTGAGAGAGTGATAGTACAAATTGATATAATTATGTGGCATAATCGCACAGAGGGCGCGGCTCTCTTTCGCGTATAGTTTCGTGGTAGCTCAGTAAACGAATTTTCTTACAAATCGTTTTATCATCATCAAGGATCAATTATCATCAAGGATCTCCTAGGTGTGCGTTGTTTGTAGTTAGCAGTGGCTGCAAATGACCGCCGGTACGACATACTCCGCCGATCGTTGAGTCCCGTGATTCAGTGAGGCGTCGAGGTCACCGGCTCCTAGGTGATTCTTGGCACTTTATGCGTTCCGGGCATTCTGTGCCTAGTCGCGCATTAAAGTGCCACCGTCGCACTTCCCCCAACCCTTTTGTTTGCAAAAGGGGTAGGCAGTGCCCATAGTGAGGAAAGCCGCTTACTATTATCACCATCATATATAGATAGGGCCTTCAGAGTACAACTGACAGGTTAGGTTACACCTTATCATGTCGGGTAGGGACAAAGGGGAACCACCCCCCAAGTCAAGAGTACCACCGGATAAGAAAGGAGTGTTGGAGAGACCATTAGTAATCAGGGATCTGGCGAACCCGGAGTGCACCAGAACGGTGCCAGCGTTCTCCCATATCCCAATGAGGAAAACCGTCTCGCCGCGAAAGGAGCCCGCACCGGGCGTCGCACTCACGCCGGCCGTGTCTGAGCACACGGTCAGGCAGGAACCGTCGCCCCAACAGCAGCGGGCTAAGAAAACGGCTAGACGCCATACACCACCAGAAACCGAAGCCTCCCTTTATGAGAAGAGGCAACGGATAGGCTCCCAGCTGTCATCAGATGAAGCACCATCCTCATCAGAAGATGAAGCATACCACCAGGTGGTGACGACGAAGAAGGTGCTGAGATCGCCACCGAAATCACTTTCTCCACCACAACCCCCCCTCGCTCCATATCACCGGATCGGCGAGGCCACGATTCCGGCTCAGTATGAGCAGGGGGGCAAGGAATCCTACAGCTGGGGGTCGACTACCTACGCAACCCTGGCAGCATCCGCCGGCCGATCATCGCCGGTGGCAACATCAAACCCGTCCGGGCTCCCGCAGGATGATGGTCAACGACCATCTACCAGCTATGCCCATATGGTATAGGTTCACGCCGCAAAGCGCAAATTAATTCCGTACGGTTCAGCGCTATATGGTGGAGCTAACTAAGGAAACACCAACGCTTTCATGGTACTGCTACACCCCGGAGGAGGACAAGCCCACCAAAGTGGGCATCCGGGGTCTACCAATGGGCACAGACACCAAAGAGATAGAGGAGGCTATAAGGGTAAAAGGCTTCCCCATCAAATACGTTAAGGCAATCCCACCGCGTAGAGGCAGACCTGGCTGCATCTACTTTGCCCAACTAGACCACCTGAGCCTGGAGCAGCTCCAGGATTTCTACAATGTCGACGAGCTACTCTTTATGAGAGGGGTCGTCATCGAGGCCTGGCAGAGAAAAGCAGGACCGGCTCAATGCCACCGATGCCAGGCCTTCGGGCACGCCTCCGCCAACTGCTTCAGGCCAGTGAGGTGTGTGCGCTGTGCCGGGGAGCACATAGCGAGCCTTTGCCCTCGGGGTAGAGAGGAGGAACCCAAATGTGCCAATTGTGGCAAAAACCACACGGCAAATGACCGCCGCTGCCCAGTCCTGAGGAGGGCTGCTAGGAGGCAGGGGATTACTTTGCCGGGGC